GTTACCAACATCTGGTGAAAATTTCATGTCATTAGCACCTCTAGTAATATATTTACTGAGAAAAATGGTGACGTGTTCAATACTTATTTTACCCGTTGCATACACGATGGAGGTAACTGAGAATGGTTCTATATTTATTTTACATTTTTAAAATGTTGTTGCAGCCATTACATTGGAGTGCAACCATTAAAACGAAATTTGCCAGTACCAGGTTACAGTGAACATAGGCTTATTGGCATAGTTTATATTTCTGTATAGTTTACATTTCTAGTTACTAATACTTTTGTTATCTTATTGTTCCATGCTTATTGTATTTTATCTTTTATTACTTGCTTGCACTTAGATTTATATAAAATATTTTGTTATACATTATGCACCGTTTCTTTACTGTGCAACGATAAAGGTTTGAATCTTCATTCTAAATTTCTGTTAATGCTGACATTTTTTTTTTTTGGGGGGGGGGTCATCAAACCATAGTAGTTACAGGAGTTACATTGAAGTCCCTCTGTGCTCCTTGGAGACCAACTTGTTGCTGAGTAGAGTGTCCTTAGAGTTACTTCTTGCAAATGTAATGGCCTTATTTACATAACCCTGGTGGCAAGAAGGGTTATTCACATCTGCCAAATGGCAGTTCCCTGGGATTTAGAGGTATAACTGCCAAATGGCAGAGGTCTGGTAGTTCTAGGCTGTTTTGGAAGCTTGTTCGGGAATTTTTTATAGTCTGAGAGACTTTAGGAGGGTTTATTGTGCCTGTACGTCTTGGGGAGCGTTGGCAGAACTAAAGGCTGCAGTTGCTTCAGTTGGAATGCCAGATGACATACTATACCTTTAGAACATTGGGTACATGCATTGTGGCCAAGGCATCGAGAGAGTTTTCCAATAAACATGGAGTCAGCAGAGTTGAATAAAATTCCGCCACGGGAGGATGAGCGGGGGTCAGCTTATTTGTCCATGGTCAGAGAGCTTTGGGACTCTACAATTGGTGTGGAACCAGCTTTTGACAGGCCTAGTTGGATCATGTTTAAGTCTGCTGTGGTGAAATCTCAGTCTGAAAATGTGAAAAAGGAGTTGGAGCGTATTGTGGGGTTAGACAGACTTAATTATGATCAAGGGAGTGATTACGTGATTCATTATATTGATAAAGAGATAAGAGAAAAACAAGCTGAACAAGAAATTAGATCAATGGAAGCACAGTTAGCAAAGGCTAAACTGAAAGATCTGAGAGACAAAGTGAACCAGTCAAAAGAAAACACTACAGTACAGATGCCTCAGTTTGTGTTAATGCCTCAAGCAGGGCCGCAACCAGTATTTGTAACACCTGGAGCAGGGGGGCTGAACGGGAATCAGGCTTATAATTTTCAGCAACAACAACATCCACCTGCTAGGTGCAGGGGGACGACACTTAACCGTAAAGGTAAAGTGCAAAGGAGAGGGAAAAGGGACTACAATGCAGACATTTGTTTCTTGTGTGGGCAAATTGGTTATTGGTCAAAAGCAAGAAGTGGGGGACCTTCACAACAGGGGGCAGGTCCAGCATTTGCTCTTAAATACTATCCACCACAAACAGCACCGACAACACATAACATATGACAGTCCTGGGTAGCAGCACATGGGGGTGGTTTGCAAATACAATAGTGGTGCCAGGAGACAGCGATGGGGACCCACAAGTATCTTGACCCAATGGTAAAACTTACAGTTGACGGTCGGGAGTGCATGTGTCTTGTGGATACTGGAGCAAAGTACAGTACGGTGATTTCACCACTGCCGTTATCTGACATTGCGGTCCGAGTCTCTGCTTTAGAGAAGGCAGCTGTGTTTTGTTTTAGTTCAGTCCAAGCTCTTACACTGAGGCCTGTGCTGCTGAGTGCTGTATGAACCTGATTGGAGTCAGAAGATTGAAAATAAAGTTTTAACAAGAAATCCTGCGGATTCCTATTTATTCGGACATACCATTTTGAACAACYCATATTTTTCCTACAATTTGGTATAGAATAGTTTAGTAAAGAATAACACTCCCTGGTTTACATTTATTTATATGTTTGACTTATTAATCTGCAGATCTACACTTAACACGTTTCAGTGTTGGGTTTTGAGCAATATTTAAAATATAAAGGCTACAATTTATTTTGAATATTCTTTATTATCACGTTTTCAACATTCCACACATTGGATTTATTTTGTACAAGTAAAAATAATCATTCAATGGGTTCTTCTCTAACAAGGTATTTATGATGAAAACAAGCCTTTTTTTAAGCCTTTCAAACTGAAAAACTAATTTGCTCGACACACAGGAGACGATGTTGCTCTCTCTCCATTCATTTCCTACGGAGCTTGTGCGATGAGGCGACAATCACTCACCCTGCTCCAGCCAAGCGACCAGCGAAACTCGTGCATGTGATATTTTGCGCTTGTACACATAGATGTGCACACGCAAGCTTGGAACGCAACKTATGAAAGTTGAAAAATGTTAAACTTTTGTTGCTGTTGCATGGTGCTACAACCAGTCAGCAAAGGTTTCATTGACTGACCAATGAGAGGAGAGTATGCTACACACTGCTGTTAGCTAACACTTTCAACATCATTTTAACTCTGTCAAACTCAACAACTTTATATGACACTTCACAAAATGATTGTTAAAAAGGCAGCCAGGGTAAA